TATCCCTCTGTCTAGAAGGTGTACAATAATTCTCAGTAATTTTTGTTATATGTATTTTTAAATTTTTGCTTTAAATCGAAACGAAATCCAAGCAAAGTCAAACAAAATGGACTTGAATTTTCCGTTTGGAACCCCACTCGTGGGCCACATGGACTCTGTGCTGGATCTGAGCTTCAGCAAGGTTTGCGATAGCGGCTTCTACTTGGCCTCCGTCGGACGGGATGGCCAGGGGATTGTACGTCGCGGTGACACTGGAGAAATATTCAGAAGCCTCTTGGGCCACCAGAGGGCAGTGCGTGGAGTTTTCGTGAGTGAGAATGCCACGATTGTGGCGACTGGCAGTGATGATTGCACCGCCCGCATTTGGAGTGTCTCCAGTGGCAATGAACTGGCGAAGTTCCGGCATACCCAGAAGGTGTCAAGTTTGGCGCTGGACACTGGGTCGGAGCGCATGCTTACCTGCAGCCAGGAGCGCGAAAGCAAGATCTGTTTGTATGACGTGAATCAAAGCAGGGAGGTCCTGTGCGTTTACCAAAAGAAATTAAGAGGTGTGCGCAACGTGATCTTCTGCCGTGACGATCGCTCGTTTCTCGCCTCGTCCTACGACCGCAACATCGAGCTGTGGGACATTTTGAGTGGCCAGAGCAGCCACAAGATCTCGCTGCCCCATCACGCCAAGAGTGTGGAGCTGTGTGCCGATGGGAAGACGGTGACCATCGGCTATGGCGAAAGCGTTGTCTTTTTCGACGCAGATACATTCAACATACACGGTCATCATAAGATGCCGTTCAAGGTGATAGGCGCATCGCTGCATCCACAGAAGAAGAGCTTTGTGTGTGCCAGCTTGGAAGGAAAGATTCTAAAGTTTAATTACGACACAGGCGAGCAAGAAGATCGATTTAGGGCCCACGTGCAAATGGGGCACAACATTAGCGGCATCAAGTACAGTCCCGACGGCGAGATGTATGTCAGCTCGTCGACCGATGGCCAGATCACATTCTGGTCCCAGACATCTGGGAATCAGAATAGTGATGAGGACGACTCCATTGCTTCGTACAGGTTCTACAGTAGAGACGACTTCCTGGACGAGGGAGATGGATACAGTGAACAAGAAGACTACGATTAGAGCTAAATAGCCAATAATTCAATCCACTACACAACTGTACACCAACCATACCCTGCTGTTGTTGCTGCTGTTCGTTTTGGTTTTCTTTAATGTTATTCTACACTCAATCATCACAAACTACTCTTAAAGGTTCATGCCCTGCAATGCAATGCTGTGGTCTTCTCTATAATAAATTCGTCTGCGTCGCCTGCACTGCGTCGTTGTGATTGGAAACCCCATCCCCTCCCCAATCCCAAACACAATCCTCATCTACCTGCCGGCTAACTATGGGACCAAACATCACTTGATTGTCGCTCTGTCCCGCCGCTCTCTCAACCTGTTTTCGAAAGGATTTCTGTTATTTCAGTTACTTTTATTCCGTGGAGATATCCAAGCGATCGCTGATTGTATCGCTGCTTTATGGCTTTTCTCACCAATCATAGTCATAAATGCGTTTTATTATTATTCGGACGGGCGGGGAGCGTTTGCGTTACCTTTGAGTCCCTTCGGCCCGACGATGGTTTTATTGGGCCTGGATCCAAAAGTGCGCATCCACTTTTTTGGGGTAGTTGAGCCACAGATAGTCGGGGCAAACCGCGCTAAGCAAAGATACAGAAACCAAAACAGATAGAAAGATTCATTTGCAGCCTCGCCATGGGTGCACTGCTCACACACATAGAAAGTGATCTGCTTTTCTCCTGACCTACGGTATCCCATAGGATTTGACAACTTCTTGACTTTATTCGTTTGTTTGTTTTTCTTTCGTCTGGGTTTTTTCTTGGGTTTGCTCTTCAAATGGTTTTCCATAAATATTTATAATTTCTTGGCTGATAAAACGAGTTCTCCTGGCATCGTGCTGCGCCCAAAGAAATTCGAAAACACGTTTTCCACGCGTTTACCAGGAAGAGGAACCTTTTCACACAACCTCCAGGGCATTGGGCTCTGTTTTTCTGTGTGTGTGCGTGTGTGTTTATCCAGTGACTGTTCCAATAAAATGAGTCGTCATGACAGTATCTCCTGCTATTGCCCTCGCTCTCCCTCTCCATCTATGTGGTGAGCACAAGTGTCTGTCTGGCTGATTGATGGAATGATTGGATGGGAAGTAGCACAGTAGCCGCAGGATCAGCAAAGGATTAGCCAGTACCCAGTAGCCAGTCCAAACATTTGCATACTTGCCCAGCTATTTGCATTCCACTCCAAGGCAATTCATCAATTACTTCTCCATCTGACCGCAGCAATTTGTCCCATCAAAAGATGGAAGATAAGTCTGAGTCATTTGTAAATGTCCTGCACCGAGATTTTGTTATATTAATGATCGGTCATTTGCCAAGGATCACGCTTAGAAATGTTTTCTAACACTGACTGTTGCTGTTTCTATTTTGATAGGGATCGCTTTTCGGTTGGGAAATATAAATGGTTTTCCTTCTTAGGCAATGGGTTTGGTTTCTGGACAGCAAAGGGGTTTGGTCTTGGTCAGAGAGATCTAAATATAATGAGTGGTCTGGATTTTTACTCAATAAATCATCTATTAGTTCTGAAATATTTTCTATATTTTATGGGAATCGTTTATGGACATACACACTCATTTTTCCAGTTTCGTTGGTTTCCTTTCTCATTATCGGTTATTATTTTCGGGCAAACACTCCCACAAAATATACTCGTACCCCTGCAGAAAGTATCCTTAACCATAGCGCACCTGCCTAGCAAAATGTTTGGAGTTGCGGTCACAGTTCCGTGAGCTAAACAGTTTTTATGGTAATTTCCTTACGGAACCGAGAATACAATATGCAGTCTTTGTCTATATGAAATGTATCTTACGGCAATTTGGTACGTTACTTCGCCTCCTGGTCATGCTCGATGGGCATTTGAACACCCGCTGCAAGAACTGAACGCTGGAGAACCCGTGGCACGTAGAGCTGGGCTTAGCGCAGGGTCGAGTCGAGGAGGTTTTAGTATGACTATCTTGGGCCACCTTCTAGTTCGGGGGTTGGCTCTGGGCTGCTCGGGGCTCTGCTGGAGTGTTGATTGTGAGGCTATGCGTTGAGGCGATAAGACGCGTTGCATTTGAAATGAGTGTAACGTATATTTTATACAGGACTGGACTGCGCTGCGTTGAGGTTTTTATAGACATGAGACGAGATAATGTTTTACAGACCGCGACCTTCGTCTGGTATCTGCTGATGATGTTTTTCCAAGGCCTTATCAGGTCAGGGACTCTCGTGTGTCTCGTATGAATATTAGATAGGCTACGGGAGGTTTGAGAGTGGTTAGATCCTATTTCTGTGAGTTCTCCAACCAGCATTAAGTTCTCTAATCGATGGAACACCTTGTATCGAGTACCCGCACGTTCCTTATTTAAGCAATCCTTTAAGATCTGCCCTTATAATGGGCTCGGCTCCTCACCCCACATCGACTATATGGCAATGAAGTATTTTTCCACCTCTTTTCTACGCCTTTTTTCCGCGTGTGTTTACACAACCCATATAGATGTGTTGCCGCCAGGATATCCTGTAGATATTTCGTCCACTCGAGGAGGAAATTACTTAAAGGGATCACGAACTCTTTCCCTCTTTTCAGCGGCTTGAGTTGTTTATGTTGCAGGCATGACTGCAACCGAACGCCACCAGAATTCTCAAATTTGTTATGAAGTGTGTAAATGTACGTTTCTTTATATTTTCCGTCTTTTTTCTTCGTCGGGGAGGGTGTGTCCCATAAACAGAAAACCGAACCACAAGGGACAGTCCAGTGGAGGGAGGACAGACAGGCGATGCTGCCTAATCGAACGATCGACAAACGATCTCTGCCTTTTTTTGGGGTGATTGCACTCCAGGGGCCAGGACTCTGTTTTTTCTACTCATTTTCTTCACAGTTTTTGTGTGGAAAAGCCAAGAGGTTTTCCCATTATTTCGTCGAGTGCAAAGGGACAAAGCAAATTATGTCTTTAGTTTCCGAATCTGACTTCCCCGGCATCGGTTAGTTCTTTGTTTTTTGTCCCGTAATTGGATTTGTGCAAACAATATAAATCGCATTTTATTGCCTTGGTAGTGTAATTTAATTTTTTACGATTTTGCACTCAAATAGAGAGGTGGGAAAACTTTGTAAAGTCTCGCCTCGAACTTTGGGAACCTAAAAAAATGATGTAACGGAAATTTAAACACCCTCATTGCCATGGAAACTCTATTTTTGACGGTCTATCGAATCGAATACTCTTGCCCCACATAGTCCCCTTCGTTTGCCCCCCAGAGACCCGAGGAAAGTGAAAAGAAACTGTGCCCCGAATCCAATTCGAGTGCTCGCCTTTCGCTCCTCTGCGACTGCACCAAATCCAGTTTGTTTCCAACCAAACCAAAACCGAGACCAAGCATTTTTATCTACTCATCGCATGCAGGCAAAAGTACAGCTCCACCAGAGGTGGCGGCGCAGCAACAACACACAACAGAGTACACGAAAGAGAGATGCAGACAGAAATCGAGAGAGGCGGAACGGTAGGCAAGTCGAATACTGGATGCACTCTGCGAACATGGAACATCTTTTTGCTGCACTTTAACAATCAATTAACTCGGATACAATATGCGATGAAATATATTCACATTTCAGGTTTATCATTTTTACTTGGGAAAACGCATCCCATTGGAATATTTATTTGCTGTTTTGCTGCATTGGAAAGCGCATCACATTGGCGCTATGCTCAACGCTGAAAAAGCGCAAGCGAGAGCAACCCAACCGCTAATGTGGTGCTTCCTCTTGGATCGTGTTTTTGAAAACGAGGGTTGCTACGCAGAGAGCGCGCCGCAGCGCTGCCAACGCGTTCGGTTCGCTCTTTGGTGGTTGTTTGACGTTTTGCTTTGCTCTGGCTGTTTATCTGTGTTTTTATTCTGTTGAGTGAGTTCGTCGAGAGAGGTACAGAAGAAGTGCAAGCAAGTCGGTGGCGCATATTCCCATGCGCAGTGCGCTAGAAATTACTCATAACTTTAATAAAATTTCAACGGAGCTGTAGTATTACAACATCTTATAGTTGTATAAACAAATATTTAACAACAATTGTGCTGCGAACATATCGAACCAGAAAGAAACTGTACACATCGTGCTCTCTTACTCTCGGAGACAACAACACAACTCACTGGCAACTACCGTTCGTGCGTTGAGTGGAATATTTAGTCTCAGTGCAAGCGAAGGTGATTATATTGTTTATAATTAATTTATAAACAAATTGCCAGGCAACAATTTTTTGGAGTAAAAAAAGTGTAAAAGACAACGCAAAAAAGACCTTGCAATAGCGCTACACATACAGAAACGTTTTACTCGCTCTCGCTCCGACAGACCTTGTGGAGACCAGTGCTCTCCCCAGTTAACGTGTGTGTTTGTGTGTGTGCGTGAACGTGGAGACTGCCCCTCCGAAAACAAAAGTTTTGGCGCCAAAACTTTGACAGTTCGCTTTGTCGTGCGATTCGCAAACAAGTGGCCCAAAGCAGAAACGACAAAACTGCGTCGCACAGTCAAAACAGCCAAAGCAGCCAAAACAGAGCTGCCCCCAGTGCCACATCCAGACACCAGATATACCCACAAACAGCAAACATGGTCAGTGCACGCGTGCTAAATCCCGTCATGCTCAGTGAGTTCTGCAAGATAAGTGCCAGTCCGTCGATCAGTCGCAATTTGCCCTGCGGCCGTCAGGTGAATCGCATCAAGCGCAATCTCTTCGGCAGCCCCAGTACCACGGAGGCGAGCACCAACAAAGCGTAAGTCTGCTGCAGATTTTCCTCTCTCACGATTGATTTACTAACCAAATCCTCTTTTCCTCTGTGCCCAGGCCCTTCAATGCCGAGCTGGAGAGACACCAGGAAATGGCCACACAGAAGTGGGGATTCAACTTCCGCGCTGGCACGCCGTTGGCGGATAGCTCCTCGTTCATCTGGGAGCTTGTCAGCTTTCAGGAGTCCAGCTTTGCCCCCGAAATGTACACCCTGACTCGTGCGGCCCACGTACGTCCCAGCGCGGAGTCCGGCGCCAGCGACGTGGATGCGCTGATCAATGAGCGTGCTGAGCGCGAGAACTTTACAGTGAATGTGGCGAACTCGTCGCTGGAGTCCAACACAGACAACGACTCTTGCTACGACTCCCAGGACGAGTCGCTTACCGTGCGATTCACGCCGTCCAGCCTGAGTCAAAGCCTGAGCAGCACAACATCCGCTCAGGCGCTGCGCAAGCGACAGCCAAAAATCACAGGTGAGTGCCGGACAAGAACCAGGACGAGGGTGGGCAATGCCCAGCAGAGCTTGACCATTCCCAGAGTCAGGCTTGATTGCACTTTCGATATACGTTACAAATTGGTTTCCCATATTGTTCCCGCCTCTGTTTAGTTTCGTTTCCCATGGGTGGAGGAGGACTTTTAGTGGTGGGCGTTGCTGGGGAACGACTTAAACCAAAATTATAGACTTGCTATGCAATTAGAGTTTGCTTTATGGGAGATTTTCGAAAGGGTTACGAACTCTGGCGCTGTCTGCAGCTGTTTCAGATCTTTCAGCCTTTCATCTCTTTATCCACGGAACAGAATGGAACTGATCTGATCCTCGTCCACGCGGGGGTTGATTTCAGATCGATCGCATGCGGGCTCTGCTCTGCTCGCTGCATCTCGTCTATAAATGCCAACAGCTGTGCGTGGCTCTGGCTCTGACTCTGCTTTGTCTATTGCCTGACCTCATTACGAGAGAACGCGAGGGGGATCAGCTTTCAATGCACCACCATGGCAAGTCCATGGCTGGTAGCCTTATCAAGCCTCCCTTTGATTGCTTTGTGTTCGTTCGCTTGGTTTTTTATATGCCCCTCGCATATGAATGTGTAATGACTATAATAATAAAAAGTGTCTGTTCGGGGCATTCTATACGCACCCGCATTTGGGCAGTGTGGAGTTGCTGGCCAGTTGGGAAGAGAAGCCAAGCCTTGACTTGCTGTAGTTTTGGTGGCGACCTAGCTGGGCGTGTAATTTATGCGGCTTAGGCATCTCGTGCAACTGAGGAAACCTCCACTCTTGCTTTCACTTGCGTCTCTACCTGAGCTGGCCAAACTGTCTAGCTGCCGTCTGGCATTATTTGCTACCCTTGGACAGGGGGTAGGGTGTGTTGCAACCCTCGTGTGTAGGGGCTGTTGCCAGCCACGTGCCACAATCCAAAATCAAAATGTGCAAAAACAGGCGGCGCCTGCTGTTCCATCCTGCTGCCGGGATCAATGACAGGGGGAGCAGGAAACAGGCCACACCATGGGATGTGCAGCAGCTGACTTTGATTTGATATTTACAAATTTCATGCAACTAATATCCCTGTTTTCTCTTATTCAATTTGCAGAGTTCATGAAGGAGCGCAAGCGACTGGCCCAGGCTCCCAAGAAACTGTCGCCCGCGAAACGCCTGCGCACCACCTCACCATCATCCTCTTCCTCCAGCGGATTCGGACTGGGAGCGCACTTTGGGGCAATGCTGAAGCGGCCGCGCCACAATTAGGGCGCCCGGGTCCCACCACTGCCCCACCGAATCGAGACTTGCAATCTGCAATTGTATAATTTTATTTGATTTTTTATAAGCCACTGCGATTTGTAGTATTCTTCTTATTTTTTACAAACCTTTTATGCAGTGCAAGGGCGACAGTTGCGAATATTAATTGATAGTCTTCAACTACTCCTAACCCGTAACCAGTAACTAGTTGTAAGCCAATAAGTTCGAGCTAAATGAAACTTTGTAGATTTCCCTAGTGGGAAATGCCATAAACTAAGTGATTAGTTCTTAACAACCAACAAAACTAAACAAACTATTGAACCAACAACAAGATAAGAGGAAAATCAAGAGACCGCTAGCTATATGGAATTATCCTTACCTTAATTGAAACGAACCGAAATTTAACCTTTCTATCGATGAAATTCTAACTTTTAATAACCTGAAAATCCTGAAATTCGTTTAAATTTCGTTAGCAACATGTGCTTTCGAAATTTCCTTAGATAAAAAACTCATTTTTGCTCGGATCCGGCAATTTATTGAAACTAAACCCCGGACCAGAGCAAAAATGACTTTTGACTAACTTTAAAAGCCACTAAAACGGGGCCACATTGAGCAGGGGTCTTCGGACTTGGCTCAATGCTGTCTCGCTTTCGTTCGACCAACTAACATTGTCCTTAATTCGACCAGTGGAAAAGCCAACAAACTTTGATTAAGTGCGTAAATTTCTGGGCTTTTGGCCGTTCTTCATTTTGATTGCGGCCGAATTTCCACAAATTTTCAAAGCTGTAACTTCTTAACCAATGGTAAAATGTCTTTATGATTTGCCATGATCTCTGGGGCAAATTATGAAAACAGTTTTGCCTACAACTATTATGTACAAAAATTAGATACTAAATAGAACCTATTATACACATAGGCAGAGCCTATTCTTCATAACATTTATTCATAACCACCTACTCCTAAGGCCTAACTAAGAACAAAATCCAAAGTATTCTCCTAATATTTATATGTATAGCTGTATAATTACTATATACACAACTCATACTTCAATAAAAAGAAAAAGCAGAAAACAAAATCGAAAAACGAAAAACAGGAAAACAATCACGGAACAAGAATATAAAATACAGAAAATGTTATGTTTGCAGAAAGTGACAAATCCGACAGTCCGCAAATCCACAAAATCATTTACATGTTGTTGCTTGTTATTGATTATAATTCCAATTCATCGTTTTGGTTGTAGTGGTAGCCGTATTATGTAGTGTAGTATATTTATAGACCATTGTACAATTTATAAGTTGATATTTGTTTTTTTGATCGCAATAAATTGTTTTTGATTTTTTAGTCGGTAGAAAGAATATTTTTTATTTTTTTAATATTCATTTTCACTGTTCGCTGTAAGCCTTAAATTGTTAATATTTAAAGAACACATTAACGAAATATGGAATTATGTCCTACTGCTGCTACATAGATGGGGATAAATCAACTTTGTTTTAATACGCGAAGTGTTATGTGTTCTTAAAGCAGATACAGATATTGCAGACTTTTTTTATGAATAGCCACTATATCATTCAATTCACTAACTAATAAGATTAAATCTCGTATTCCTTTGTTTATCTTGTGACTATCACACTTAGAATCAGTTCGACAGAAAGGTATCCCTAAAGAAAGAATCTTCTCTAAGAAAAGTTTTCTTTGTTTATGCTAAAGAACAACAAAATTTTCATAATTTACTTTTCCATTTATTTCAATAGTTTTATTTGATTTGATTACTTACAACAAATACATAAATATTAATCTTTGTTTAATTTGCAGTGTAGTAATTTTAACTAGATTCGTTTAACTAGATGAGCACTCGCTTTAGCCGATATTTGTATAGATATAGTACATATACATCAGATATATACACAGTGGAGTCTGCAGTATGCAGTGTGTCTGCCTCTACTTCCCCGCCGCCTTCTCCTCCAGCTGGGCCTGTATGTTCTTCACATTATGGCCGCCGGCATTGGTTTGGTTGTGCCGCTGGAAGAAGGCATTAATGGAGCTCATTGATCGGTACTCCAGATTGTCGCTCATATGCCAGTCCACGCTGATGCTCTGATGCCGGCCCATGGGGTTGCGTATCTTTGTCTCATTGTACTTCTCCAGGAGATGCAGCAGGCAGTCCTTGGTGGTGTTAGCCGCCTCCTCTAGATTCACCGTCTGGTGCGTGTCGGGCAGTCCAACGGGCACGTCGCGGCTCATCTGATTGATGCGGAACTTGGCCCGTCGACTGCTGGCTGATTCAGTGACCATGTGATGGCTATTGCTGCTGCTGCTGGTGGTGCTGCTGCTGGAGATTACCTTCGAGGTGGTGGCCACTGAGGACTTTTGTACTTGCTGGCTTGAGGTGCTGCTCCGGGTATTGGAGCTGCTCATCGTGCTCAACGTGGACTGGTTGCGTAAGGACTGCACCTGGGACTTGGACCAGGTGCTCCCGCTACCATTGCCGTTGCTCAGCTTTGGAGTCTCCTCGATTGACTGCTGCAGGCGCACGGACAGCGAACTGACCTTGGTCTGGCCCTGTCCATCGTCGGAGCTGGTGTGACTCTGGCTGCTGCTGCTGGCGGCACTGAGGAGTCCGCCCCTGGGCGTGGGCCGGTTCCAGCTGCTACTGCTGGTCGCGCGACTGGTCCACTTGTTTCCCTCCTGGCTAGTCTCGGAGGTGCGGCTTGTACTGCTCTCAGCACCAGCTGGAGTAGGCTGGGGCGATGCTGGGGTAGGTGCTTCATTGGTGCCGCTGTTGCTACTGTTGTGGTTGGCGTCCCCTAGCTTCGTGTTGATATCAGCTAGCATGAGCAGATGGTCAGAGAGCTTGCGGATCTCGTCAGCCAGATTGACGCGCTCCCCGGAGCTGCGGCGCCCCAGCAGGTAGGTGGTGTCCGAGTTTCGGCGATCGAATGTGTGCAGATAGCTCTTCATGCTCCTTTGCTGCTGGGCCGTCGACTCGCTGCCGGAGAACTCGTCGAAGTTCTCGTTGAACAGGTGCTGGGGCGTGGGCGTGGAGGGGTTGGAGGAGCCCATGACCGGGAAGAGTTTCTCTCGCGACTCATTGATGGGCGTCGACACGGAGCTGGGGCTCTCGTTGTCGCCACAAGGCGACTCCTCCTCATTTGGCTGCTGGGCATCATCCTCGCCTTGCTCGTCGTCCGTCATCGTGGCTATCGACTCGCACGGCGAGGGCGAACACACTGGAAATGGAGGAGAGTTTTAGATTCGTTGGAATCGTTAGTCCAGTGTGTGGTTACGAGTGGCACACATAGATGGTTAGGATACGAGTATTATCAAGAAAAGTTTACGTTTAATTTGTACATGAAGTGCTTAGACACGGAATTAGTTCATGCTTTTGGGTTAAGAGAGTTGTATAAAGTAATCCCAATGATCATTATGGTATTCTGTTCAAATGGAATGGGTTTAATATTCGTTTTACACAGCTCGTTGAGACAGCAAATGGGGTTAGTTTGTGTATTCAAAAAGAAAGACCCTTTCCCTAACGGACAAGAAAACGAATGAACATGAGACAGACTTTGGAATAAACTGAACTGCGATCTCTGTGGATGATGGCTATGGATTTATATCTTTGGGCTTACCTGGTTGGCAGACCAGAAACTGTGGCTATGTACGAGTGTGTTGATCTATGTCTGACCTAGGATCGGGGTAGGTTTTTGGGGGATTTGGTTGGGATTGGATAGGATTGGGGTGGAGTGGAATTGGGAGATTGGCATATGGCTTCGAGGCTCGAACAAAGTATAGAGAAGTATAGTAGTGCTTAATGTTGGTTTTCTGTATTCAAATTGAAGTATATTTTGGACATATTTTGGTTGGTTTTGTCAATGGCTGTCATTATCACAGTGTCAAAATGGTTAATACAGGTGGTATCCGCTACAAGGATGCCAAAACTTCGCTTAATTCTACAGTTACTTAAAGATTAACAACAGTTCTGGCTGGCATGCTGGCCCTCCCTCTCTTGCACACAGAATAGACGTTGGGTTAACACAGAGAAGGATGTAGACTGACAGAAAGTAAGAGAAATAGAAGAGAAGGCAGGGCGCCTCTGTATGCGCTTCTCAGCGAGCCAACTCGGTTCACATTCACGTTAAGAACAACAATTAGTGTTTGACAAGTTAATCATGTAATTTACAAAGTAGATCCAGATGCAGGATGCAGGTGCAGTTGAATTTGCGGCTGTGGACGCAGCCATCATTTGCCATGGATGAGGGCATGCCGGTCGCGCTGCCGCTGAGAGCCGCCGCCACGGCAGTACTCACCTCGGGACGAGGAGATGCTGTCCTGGCCATGGGGTCGTCGCGGGTGCGGATAGCTCGTCTCGTTCAGGGGCGCAATCACATTGCCCTCCACATCGAAGACGTACGGACTGTTGGGATGCGTCTCCCAGCGCACAATGAAATTCTTGAGGTTATCCTTGGTGGCATCCAGCTCTTTGTTCTGTGGTAAAAGGAATAGCATGTGGAATATGACACATGGTTTTGCGCTATGCCATTACTTACCTCCAGGTCCACGGCACTGCAGAGCTTGGCAAGCTCTTCGCACTCTTCGTCCTGGTCCTGGTCCTGTTCCAGCTTCCTTACGCCCTCCCCCGTTTCCACAGCTGCCTTCACTTCTTCCACTACGTCGTCGTCGTCGTCCTCGATGGTCTCTGTGGACTCCTCGGAGGACTCAGAGGCGGCTGGTGTCGGTGACTGCGACTTCAGACGTGTCTTCGACGCCGATGAGGCTCCCTTCGCTATTGGTGTGGCTGTCGCGGTCGCCCGCTGCTGGAGCCATTTGTGCTTCATGCAATCTGCGGCTGCCATGCGGGTACTGCGGATGGAGAGACAGAGGTAGGTAGGGGATTTCCCGGTTATGACTAGACTCTAATTAGGAGTAGGGAAAAGTGTACCCACCTCAAGTCTTTTACCAACAGCTTGGCTATGAAATCCAGACACTCCGGGGATATTCCATTGAAGCATTCATCCTCGAAATCGTATTTCGCGATGGTTACATTTGACATTGTTTCAATGTCGTTCTCGCCCATGAATGGCGACAGACCCGAGATGCTGTACCATCATGTGTGTGCCGGGATGGGATGGGTGTGGCAAAGTCAATAAACATGAAATGTAAAAGCATGGTAAGTTAAATAAATAAACGCATAAAAAAACACCAGACCCAACACTTAATTAACTAAATTAAATTTTCTTCCACTGCACTGGGGTGGGGTGTCGGCAAAGTGAGTGAGTGTTGGGTTAGGACTCCCCCCATTTGATTATTCCACTTTTGGCTGGTACAAATTTTTAATTAGTTCCCGTACAAACCCCTAAGATACAGGGACAAGTCTTTGATTAAATTTTGTAATTGCTTCACTGGCGATAAATGTTTCAAAAATATTTGCCAAGAGTTTAGGAATATTAATGGCATCGGAGGAAGTGTAAGATTTACATTTTTAAATAATTGAGCGTGAAAATGTTGACGAAGAGGAACATGACTTAGTTTTACAATCTACATGCAATAGAGATCCGATTCCTTCTACTTCTAACATTGCCTTAACATGTGTCTATATCTTTTTCAACTTACAGCACATAGCAAATGACCCCGACGCTCCACATGTCCGTTCCGTAGGAGATGCAATCAAAGTTCACAACTTCCGGAGCCACAAACTCGGGTGTGCCAAAGAGCACCTAAGAGGGAAAAAGTTTACTATTGAGTGGTTGGGGGGTATAGTGTGGGATTATAAGGACTCACCCTGAGACGCTTGTCCGGATCGAATTTGCGTGCCAGGCCAAAGTCAATGATCTTGATGCGGTTTCCCTTCTGTGTAAGCACCAGGATGTTCTCGGGCTTCAGGTCCAGATGGACAATGCCATTGCCGTGAATAAAGGCCATGGCCTCGCACACCTGACGGATGAAGACGCGGCAGACGCGTTCAGTGAGGACGAACTCATCGTCCACCACGCGGTCAAAGAGCTCGCCGCCTTCAATGCTGCAGAGACAGAGAAATTTCAGGATAAAGGCCATCTTTACGGACTAGCAGATGACAAAACGAGGTACATGCATTGATTACTGATTAACTCATGCAGAGATTAGGGTCTTTTGTTTAGTGTCCCCACCTTATCGGAAGTGTTTAGCCTATAGTCCGGTTATAATCATTCGCCTTACCTGGCACACTCTAGTCTCTAGATATGTTATTTACAAGAGTATCGATTGCCCTGCCAGAACACGAAAGTCAGATAATACATGAACATCCATCCCATACGGACACGAGTGAAGGGCATCAACTAACAGCAGACGGATCTGATTCGGAGGGAATTGTGTTCGTGCGCTCCCCAAATTCCATTTTCAATTTGCATTTTCTTTCTACTGTAACACAAAACCCACCCATCAGATGCTTCAATGCCCAAATTGCATTCGACTCCCCCCTAAAATTTGTCGGGTATTGTTTTGGTTAGTTGATGCTCTTCAATCAGAAATCGAGTAAATTAAATTTGAATGTGTAAGGAACACTCATGCCTGATAGGGAGTATTATTAATCTAACAGGTTATCCTATTGCAATTTTTAAATGGTTGATATTCTTCTTTGTGTACTTTCTCTGTGGAAAATCTGATGCGAGCCAATCGAGAAAATCCGTTAAGACTCTTATGCGTATGATTTTCGGTTGGCTTTGTGTCGAAATTTGCCAGACGGATCTGAATGGCTGTCAGGATGAATGTACAGAATATTTGCCAGACTACATGTTTAAATATTTACAAAGTAGCAATGGCACTGACATTCGAATCTAGTTAAATTGAGATTGTTTCAGTTTATGTTTTCCCTTTCTGTCCCTTTTTTCTGCAGAGTTTCCGACAGACATTAGCCTAATGGAAACCGAGCCGGACTCTGTCATAAACTGTGCATTTGATCAAGGCCCAGATGAATAAACAATGTTCGGACTGGCTGCAAGTCAACGCTTGAAGAAGTTTTGCCCTGTCTTGCCCAAATATGTGTACATTATGTAGGAGTCCATGCTATGAATATGCCAGGACAAACAGTGCAAGTCAACAATTGGCTTTTGGAAAAGACGTCGGGGCGAACAACAGCAGCTGAGACAACAAAATCCTGAACAATTGCAGTGCTGCTCAAAATTAATGTAACTTGACAAAGACATTTTCGGGGCATTGTCTTTGGTGCTAGTGAGATGTCTATGAAAATGAAATTGTTTCGTTTGGCCATTGTTCTTCCCAATTTATGTTGTGGGCGGGGGAATGTGGGTCAAGGCCGTGGACTAATCAGTGCCCCACACCCACACCCACACCCACCTGGCTCAAATGTTTTTATGGGCCATTGGAGACCCGAACGGACCCTCAACCCGTGTCAGACAAAGAAACAACCCAAGAAAAGAGAAAGAAACTTTGTCCGGACCAAAGTCGCGGGCCCAATAAAAGTTGTTATAAATTCATATAAATGCTAGAAAGGGGCAACCTGTTGCTCAAGGTTTTCTCGCTCTCTGGTCGCGTTGGTGTGTGCGTAAAGTGTATTGGCAAGTGTGTTTGTGTGGGTGAGAAGTTTACTAGTTTACGATAATGTGCGTACGTGTAAATCGCATTTTATGCACATTCCCACTGATTGCAAGATATTGTGTGCCGGCAACAATGTGGCCAACAGCCGCAGGTCCCCTTCGGGATACCAACAAACCAACAAACTTGGGGAACACTGAATGACAAACAGAAAGTGACAGAAACATAGAGGCACAGAAAGGGAGAGATATATATATATACACACACACACGCACACGAAACGAGCGACAAACAAGGCAAAATCAACACATTCATAAAGCCATATTTCAACGGCTTGGTCACCCTTCGGCGCGCTTCCTTACAGTTCCAGGACGACGCACATCATTTTCTGATATTCGTATGCCGCATACAATTGTATAATGAGATGATGCTGCAACGAATTCATAATCTCCACTTCTCGCTCCACATTCCGCTTGTCCTCGCGCTTCGGGATGGGCACAAACTTGGCGGCCAATTGCAGGCCATTCGTCTTGTCCCTGCACTTGTACACCGTACCGAACTTTCCCCTGCACACAGAGAGGGGAGAGGGATTAGTTATCGACCAGCGTCCAGCGTCCAGCGTCCAGCGTCCCGATCCTTGGCACCTAAGTACTCACCGTCCCACTTCGCCCAGCACATCGAACAGTTTATGGGCATCGACATTGCGATTTATGGTCACATCGCGCATAGGAAACACCGGCTCCAGAACTGCAAAAGAGAGTATGGGTTTCAGTCTTATGTTAATACAAATCAAGCAATCAATATATGCTAATCAGATATTTGCCAGGATCATGGGAATACATACTAAAGACAAGTTGTACAGAAGCTAGAACGAGTAACTTCTTTGATGTCTACCCTATCCAGCAACCGTGAGTAAAAGTTCAAAGATTGAGTGAACTTTTTGATTTCAATTACGACTGACTCGGACATGGAATTAGGTTAGTTTTCCTTGACACTTGAGCCATCTATATCTGGCAAAGAGAACATTTCATCAGACCAACAGACCATTCCAATACCCATTATCAGTGCTTTATCAGCAGAATGCCATAGATTGACAGACTATACTCGCATTCGTGGATGGCTTATGGCTCTGGTCGGAAATGTTTTGGTTAGATAAGGTCTTCAACTGTCTGATTTGATTGCTTGCACTTAGTTTGCGGATTTAGATTAGATTTGTTGTTCGCTTTTGCGTTTCCATCACTCATGCCCTACCTAATGTGTTATGAGTGGCCAAGGACATGTTGGTAGGGTTACCCGTATTTCAAGCATTTCAATCATTTTCATTGTTCGTCTTTTCCAGAGTGCATTTCATATCGGCCTTTATGGCGAAATGGCAGTGGGCCTGTCTGGCAACTGAAAAACTGAACAACCGATTGTGCTTGTCATATATTTCGCAGGACATATTGCAGAGAGCTTACTGTGCTCTGGAGGAAACCCTTTTCAAAACTCAATTCGTTACTTATTGTTGTTTTTGCTGCTTGTCTGCAAGTTGCCAAACAAATAAAAATGACTTTATTCAATTGAGTTTTGCGGAGGACCAGGAGTATCCTACGAAACGAGGACAACAAAAGTGACGAGCACACATCGGATGTGTGTGTGTGAATAACTGGGAATACAGTGACGAATATGTGAGTGGAGTGGAGTGTGAGTGTGGCCAGCAAACAGTATAAATTTTGTCATATTTTGCCATCACAAGCCCCAGACTTTCCCTCTTGACATTTGGCCAGAATACTGGTAATCCATGGGGATTTCCCGGAGCTCTGCGTCCACAAGAAGGAAAGCAGAAATCAGTCGAGTTCAGAAATGTGCAATTTGAATTATTGATAATCCTTTGGAGTCGGGGGCAGCAGTCGATAGGCGGCACGCAGAATAAGAAAAGTCAGTTAAGCACTTGCTGTTGCTCGAGGGACGATGCACGATGCACGATGCACGATGCACTTATGATGGCTGTCTGTCCTGTCCCATTAATATGTAAATGGCGCACATAAGTATGCTTTGGAAAACACGATAAATCCTTAAAATCAAAGGCAGCAGCATGGCAGGACCAGGCTGGAGCAGGCTGGAGCAGGCAGGGGAAAAGTCAAAGGCAAAAGACTTTTCAAAATCGAAGCAAATGCATGGCATGGCTGGGGGTGCCGGCTGTGGAATGTGAATGCCGTTTTCTCGAGAAGAAACTTTGCAAATTCAAAGTGAAAGTTGAGGGTCTACTGTGAATAGAAATGGAGGATGAGGCAGAGGCATGTGTGTGTGTGTGCGTGTGTGTGTGACTGTCATTGCTGTTTGTCTGCATTGAGTCTCTCGGATGTGTATGCAGCGATTGCTGAGACTTGACGCCACGCCTCGCCTCACCTCGCCTCGCCGCTCCTTTCTGCTCCTTTCTGCATTTCGTTTAAACGGTTTTGGGCACAAATTTATGCATGCAGCTGCGGCCCAAGAGCGAGTGTGTGTGCATGTGCATGTGCATGTGAGTGCATTTGAGTGCACTCTGCCAATAATGCGCACAATTTAAGTTTCGGCAAACACGCCCAAACACTTGCATTAGAGAAGAAAATTGAAGAGGTCCTTTAGAGCCCAGTCTCCAACACTCACTCCTCACTCCACCCCCCAATCAGCAGCTTCCATTGAACGAAAGTTTTGAGGAAAGTTGAGAACTCTTTGGACTCATAATTCATTGCATTTAGTTGAAACGAAATACGTATTTCATAAATCGCTCCGCGACCCTCATGAAATTTCACCATAGCCGTAGACAAGCACTCATATATTATGCACAAACACTGACTCATACGTTCACATTCAGACACTCACACTCGCTGCGGTGGAGAGGGGAAACACGGGAGCGCACCAGGGGCAGGTGGCTCACATTCATTTCCTGGTTCGAGCTCATGAATAAATGAATTTATATCGACTCCCGTCTGGCAATGGCACTGCACTGCACTGTACTTGCCACCGCTTACCATCAAGGCGGGGCTGAACATGGGGCAACCCATATGCGACACGCCGAAATGGGCAAGGAGGCGAACGGGGCGGCAGTGGCAGTGGCACGTCTAGCCAGCGCTCAAGCCCGAATGCAATCGAAATTGGACCCGAGCCGTTTGAAGTGTTTTTTTCGTAAATCAATTTCAGTTGCCAAAGCATCGCCACAGCCATCCATTAAGCTGCGAAATGTTCTCGATCTGCATATAATATTGCGCGACCAGGACGAATCTGAGCGATATACTGAGAAAAAAGGTATGAAATCGAGAACTTCGGAACTATTCAAATGGGTGACTCATGGTATGCTTATCTCCATTAGAGAGAGAGAGAGATCTCGGTGTATTATATTTCCCCAATGGGAATTCGCACATGGCTTTTATCTGAAGCTTGAACTGTGTGGCAGACAACACTTAACTCTTAACCAGCTTATTACTGTTAAGCGTTTCTGTCTACAAAGCACTCTCTTTTTCTCTCGCTCTGTCTTTTTTCCCCTACATGCATCAATGTTTGGGTGGCTTTCGGAAGTGCAACTCGTTGCAAATTCAATTCAAAAAACTTTATAAACTTAATTTATGCACAATATCAATAAAAATGCCAGATAGAGAGGGAGAGGGGAGGGAATGAGATGGTATATGTGCACTTCTCATTCAATAGAGTACCACTTCCACTGCCACTGCCACTGCCACAGCTTCTGCGGATGCAAATGGCAAACGATTTTTTGTGCCAACGATGGCAATTTTTTCTGATATGAAAATCAGCAAATTTTTCTTTGATTTGCCTTCGCTCCGGTTGTCATGTCCCACGAGTCCTCCCACGATATCCCCCATCTATTTTCGCTCTTCTCATTTTGGCAACTGTTGCCTTGACTTTGAGATTAAAATGGAAAAAAGAATGGAACCAAACGAAAAATGTCTTCCCTTTGGTGGTCCTCCTTCTGCGCCATCGATTTGTGGCTGCAATTTGTTGCCGCCATTATTTTGAGTAATGCGCGTAATGAAAATTTTTTAATAACACAATTTGAAGGCGCTATTCTTGAGTTTAGCAATGAAAAAACATGTCGAACAATGGCAAACTGTTGCACATCAAACGTTTGATATCAATGTGCCACACAGTACGCATACGCCGCGTGCGCGCATGCCACAAAACCACGAGCCAGACGCCTTGGCATTTTAATATGAGTGCCGGCCGGGGCACGAGAACGAGCCAAGTTTGAGGATGGCATTTCTTCATTGTTTCCATTTGCTTTTAATAACACTTTTTATGCGAACAACTTAAGCGTCCTGCTCGTCTGGCAATTCATTCGTATTCGGAAAGACCACCAGACCCAAAGCAATCTGCGGAGGCATGCCACGCATTTAATGGCCAGGCTTTTGCGAATCACCGCACCGCACCCATGACCATATACCCGTAAATGGAGGCCAAAGATCGCCCCGCAGAGGTGTGTTGCCTACGAGTGTTTCCCAACATAAATAATATGCAAAATCAACTTGAGAGATGCTTTTAGCTACAGGCTGCACTCTCTGGAAAGGTCTTTGAAGTACTGCATGTCTGCTTTGTTCGGGCAGCTTTTGTTTGATATTTTACTACAGGGACGAATTCGTCAAAGTTAAATTAAAATTAGTTCTCATTGCACTCTCCAAGGAATTGCAAGTTGTTTATATTGTAATGAAAACTTTTCATTTTTAATTCAATGTGAAATGCAAGTAGCATCCTTCTAAATAATGGTGTGGAAAAATCTTCTGCAAATTAATTAAATATATACGCTATTATAAGCCTTTTTTCATTTCTTCTCGCTGCAACTGCAACATGAAATCTGGCATACCGTCTCCCGAAGGCAGCCTTCCTTCCATTCCTCAACTACTCGTAGTACTTCTTTTTGTGGACTCTTTGTGAACTTCGACCAGGCTACATATACTCGTAATGGCTGATGACGTGGGCCTGACTAATGGCGAAAACTGTTGCGAATGTGTTTGTACAGTTGCTAACAGATATTCGCCCGGTTATTGTTGCTGCTGCTGCTGGGGCTGCTACTGCGGGCATGTCTCTGCACTTTAATCAGCCTAAGTGCCTGCCAAGAGCGAGAGAGTAGGGAACAGCCAAAATGAGAGAGATAGAGGGAGATGGTATGTGGTGGGAAAATTAAAAAAATGGCAAAAGTTTTCATAGAATCCTGCTGAAGGCTTCCAGCCGACTGTGACTGTGAATATGGTGCCATTTCAAATTGGTTATTATACGGAACTTGCCACACAGTCACATATGCACATGGCACATCAAATGGTCATGCATAAATGAAAGGGATAGAGACGGAAGTGCTTTTCATGTATCCGCACTTATTGTTTGCCTCCCCACAATGCGAAAATGAGAGTGGCTTCAAGCCATGTCTTAAAACCACAAGAATTTACATAAATTGATATTATAGTTCAAAACTGAAGTCAATGTTTTCTGAATTTTCTGTGATTTTGTCACACTGGTAAATATATACATATGTACATTAGTATATAAGTACGATAAGCTGCTATCTGTGCCATCTCTTCTCCTCCTCTGGAACCGCCTTCGATTAGTGAAAAGCGAAGGCAACAGACAATTTATTTCTCACAATCGAATGGATGCGTTAGATGCGTGAAATGTTTGCAGATAAAACAAACTCAATAAATGATAAATGACACGAAAAAGTTGCCAAATTAAATGCTGAATTTTTTATTTAAATACAAAAGCAAACCAACAGCGAACAGAAA